ATTGTTACTCAGATCCAGCTCTCTCAGGGCACAGTTTAAGGATTGTAGAACAGATGACAAACTCTGACAATGCTGACCAGTGAGATTACAGCCAGAGAGGCTGAAAGAGAGCAGAACACACACATCAACAGTCAGATCATCTACACACACACACACACACACACACATCAACATGATAACCGTCTGACTGTAAATGATCTCTTATATGTTCTTAATACCTCAGTATCTGCAGCTGACAGTTTGGATTCTTCAGTCCATCAGAAATAAACTTTATACCAGAGTCCTGCAGGTGATTTTTACTCAGATCCAGCTCTCTCAGGACACAGTTTGAGGATTGTAGAGCTGATGACACCATTTCACAATGCTGATCTGAGAGATCACAGCCAGAAAATCTAGAAGAGATGAAAGAACAAATAAAATGAAACCAATAATATAATAAAGACATGTAAAGGAATTTCCCAAGTATCTGTCCTCAGGAACCTGGAAATAAATATTTTTACATTCCAGCCTGAATAACAATAAGATGAGTTCCTGAGTGCAAGGATATAATCTGCTCATTTTATCAGGTTCATCAACATCAGAGATCAGATTAGCTCCTGACTGTTTCTTCAGCTACTGCTGTGCTTCAAAATATGCTTTGCTGAAGATATACAATTATGAGTTTTGAACTACGAATCTGAGAGACTCCTTATTTCATTCATGCAAAGTTATGTTTTTGGGATATGACTTGACAAATTACATGAATCTGTGAGTTTGATTTTATTTCTTAGTGCCAAGCTGCTCAAACTAAATCAAGGTCAAGGTCAAGGTGAACTTTATTAACCCCAAAGGGCAATTTGTTTTATATCTTTATATCTATAAATATATTATTTACTACATCTTATTCGTGCAGTAATGGCTGTTGTATTAGATTACGTTTATTAATTAAAGCAAAACAAGGTACTCGACATGTGGACGCCATTGTTGACTCGTCTCACCTCAGATGCAGTGCTCAGATGCATTAAATGGTGTTCTTATCTTTCATTGTTGTTGAATGTATTTAGTTAAGGGGTCATGATATGAGGAATCAAACTTTATTTGATATTTTGAAATATAAGAGGTCACTATACTATAAAAATACTGTAATTTTCAGTCCTCAAAAATTCATCCTCACTGCAAAAAGAGCATTTCATGAAACTAACCTGCAAAAAGTATATATTTGCATTTGAATGACTCTAAAACAGCACTTCAACACCTACAGTGTGCAGTTGAGCAGTGAGGTGATGAGGAGAGAGATGCAACAATGTTAGTCAATCACAATAGCAAACATTTACTGACAAGAGTCAAACTGAGACTAGAAAATAATCATGCTGTGCAAATATAGGACTGTTTTTGTGTCAAAAAACTTCAAAAAACTAAAATAATAAAAAAAAAATGTCATGTCATGACCCCTTCAAAACTATAAGCTTGCTGTTTAGAAGAAAATATCTAATTTAAGAAATGGTCCATTTTAAAGATGCTAGATTCATTATTAAACATGATTCTTCATTTCTTAATGATGAAACACTCACAGAGCTTTTCTGCAGTTGATCACAGCTGGTATCAGTCTACTTCTCCCCTCAGCTGATGTGTTGTATTTCATGAGTTCAAACTCATCCAGCGGCTCCTCTGACATCTGAAGCATGTAGGAGATTGTTGAGCAGTGAGCAGGAGAGAGTTTCTCTGAGTGTTTGTCTGATTTCACAAACTCCTGAATCTCTCTGGACAGAGTCTGATCTTTCACTTCCAGCAGACAGAGGAACAGATTGATGGATTTGTAATTTTCAGTCCTCAAAAATTCATCCTCACTGCAAAAAGAGCATTTCATGAAACTAACCTGCAAAAAGTATATATTTGCATTTGAATGACTCTAAAACAGCACTTCAACACCTACAGTGTGCAGTTGAGCAGTGAGGTGATGAGGAGAGAGATGCAACAATGTTAGTCAATCACAATAGCAAACATTTACTGACAAGAGTCAAACTGAGACTAGAAAATAATCATGCTGTGCAAATATAGGACTGTTTTTGTGTCAAAAAACTTCAAAAAACTAAAATAATAAAAAAAAAATGTCATGTCATGACCCCTTCAAAACTATAAGCTTGCTGTTTAGAAGAAAATATCTAATTTAAGAAATGGTCAATTTTAAAGATGCTAGATTCCATTATTAAACATGATTCTTCATTTCTTAATGATGAAACACTCACAGAGCTTTTCTGCAGTTGATCACAGCTGGTATCAGTCTTCTTCTCCCCTCAGCTGATGTGTTGTATTTCATGAGTTCAAACTCATCCAGAGGCTCCTCTGACATCTGAAGCATGTAGGAGATTGTTGAGCAGTGAGCAGGAGAGGGTTTCTCTGAGTGTTTGTCTGATTTCACAAACTCCTTAATCTCTCTGGACAGAGTCTGATCTTTCATTTCCAGCAGACAGAGGAACAGATTGATGGATTCACCAGCTGAGAGATCACGACGTTCATCTTTAATCTTCTCTTTAATGTACTGTGTGGTTTTCCTGATGGTCTCGGAGCTGTTCTCTGTGTGTGTCAGTAGATCCTGTAAGAGTCTCTGATTGGACTCCAGTGAGACGCCCAGCAGGAACCAGCAGACAGAGGAACAGATTGATGGATTTACCAGCTGAGAGATAATAAATATCATCTGGATCTTTGATCTTCTCTTTAATGTACTGTGTGGTTCTCCTGATGGTCTCGTAGCTGTTCTCTGTGTGTGTCAGTAGATCCTGTAAGAGTCTCTGATTGGACTCCAGTGAGACGCCTAGCAGGAACCGCAGGAACAGATCCAGCTGTCCATTCTCACTCTTGAGGGCTTTATCTACTGCTGATGTTAGTAGATCATACAGAGATACTCCGGAAAATTTGTAAGATCTGAATTCATTCAGTGGCTCTATGTTCTTCATTAAATTGCAGTAGAACACATAGAAAGCAGCGAGAAACTCCTGAACGCTCAGATGAATGAAGCTGTAGACTTTCCTCTTATGAATCACAGATTCCTGCTTAAAGATCACAGTGCAAATCCCAGAATACACTGAGGCGTCAGTGAGGTCTATGCCGCTCTCAATCAGGTCCTCCTCATAGAACATCACATTGCCCTTCATCAGCATTATATAATCAATATATAAATCATATAATTAATGTTGTGCATTTCAATTTCAGTATAAAATTTAAAACTAATTTTTAAAAAGTTAAAAAAGGTCATAGTTAATCTTCCATCACTGAACTTTTGTCCACAGGTTTGTGGTAAAATAAAACACCCCAACATGACCTGGTTGTCAGGTTCCTTAGAGGGGCGAGGAGGTTGAACCCTCCTTGTCCTACCTCGGTGCCCTCTTGGGATCTGTCTCTGGTGCTCACGGCACAGCAGAGACCTCCCTTTGAACCCTTGCAGTCAGCTGAGTTGAAAATTCTGTCACTAAAGACAGTTCTCATGACTGCATTGGCTTCCATCAAGAGGACAGGGGACCTGCAGGCATTTTCGGTCGACGAATCGTGCCTAGAATTCGGGCCGGCCAACTCTCATGTTGTCCTGAGACCCCGGCCTGGATATGTGCCCAAGGTTCCTACCACTCCCTTCAGGGACCAGGCAGTGAGCCTGCAAGCGCTGCTCTTGGAGGAGTCAGACCCAGCCCTAGCTTTTCTCTTTCCCGTCCGCGCTCTGTGGTTGTACGTGGACAGAACACAAAGCTTCAGAAACTCAGACCAGCTCTTTGTCTGTTACGGAGGCCAGCAGAAGGGAAAGGCTGTCTCCAAACAGAGGTTAGCCCACTGGATAGTGGATGCTATTGTCTTCGCGTACCAATCCCAAGACGTGCCTTGCCCGTTCGGGTTGCGAGCACACTCAACTAGAAGTGTTGCTTCCTCCTGGGCGCTGGCTCAAGGCGCCTCTCTGACAGATATTTGTAAAGCTGCGGGCCGGGCGACACCTAACACGTTCGTTAAATTCTATAGCCTTCGTGTAGAGTCGGTATTTTCCTGTGTACTCGCGAAGGACCCGTTCTAGATATCGGTTTGCAACGCCCCTCCCACCCGCTGGGCCAAATACGTGCGTCTATTGCTCCAATAGAGTTCCCCAAAAATGGCTAACCCTTTGAGTTCCTCCATCACCCCCCGGCAGTCAAACGTGGTGGAGCGTTTGACACCAGGCCTACACTCGTATGCATTGTGGAACCTGTGTTAGGCTGGGTGTCCATATGTAGTGGTCCCTGCGGCGATCCCATATGCGTATTCTTCCACGGTAGGCTGCCCAGTCCGACTAGCCCGTGTCTTTCCCTCTCTGCTGGTGTTCTTTCACCCCTAGAACTAGGTTGGAAGCATCCCAGAGACTTCCTAATGTTGTACTACCCTAATTGTCTAGTCCATATGTGTAACCGCCACATTTTACCTTCCTAAGGGCAGGATGTGGCCTCCGCAGCGTCCCCTTCCTTTCTAGGGCACGCTTTCCCAGCGTTATCCAATAGTCACACTGAGTGGGTCTTGCGGAACAGCAGTGACTGACCTTCTCTGCTTGGAGCCCTGACTTCCGCTCCAACTGTTGGGGGCGGTCCAGGAGTCTCAAGCAGAGCGCTGGAAGGGCCAGCAACAGTGGCGTGTTGGTAGATATCCCCAATTCTGAAAGGGAACATCTCGGTTACGTATGTAACCCTCGAGCAAATATGTGCTGCTCATTAAATACTCGCGCTGCAGCGCAGAGCAGCTGTGGCAATTATCGCATGCCACGCATGCCAA